TTTTGGATTTCCCTTTTGGATTTATGCTTGGATTTTTTGGCCCGGACTCACTTCCCCTGGACACCTGCTCACCACGGACACGCCCCCCTGTCTCCTGACCGACTCCTGCATGATATTTTTCCCTATTGTTTCTTGATCTTTCGGATCGTGTGGTCTGCATAGGGCCCGGAAAGAACTGTTCCTGACAGTATGGTGGAGTCTGGATTGAGTCAACTCAGGTGAACTCACCCACAAGTCCCTTTCAGAGATGAAGATTTTTTGTACTGTACAGTAGATCAACATAATGGATGCTAGTGGTAGTAAATATGTAAAATAAGGTGCTAATTGCTGTGTATATTGTAAGTGTATGTTGTAAGTTGTATTCCTGAGATTAGCTGGCAGGCAGGGAGTTTTTATTCAAATCAATTTCACAAGTGCGTTTTTACTGTCTTGTCACTGGTGATGATTACATCATTTCTATATCAGTTACTAGCCACATATCCCCTCCATTGCTCAAGGAGACCAGCTGAGTGCTCACAAGGCTCTGTGAGGCAGTGGTGCCATAATGGATCTTCTGTGATGTCATGGTTTGCCCTATGGTGAACGTGTAAGGCTGTAATATCAGGAATGTCTGCATTGTCTGAGTATTATTACATCACTCCTTTGACTGCCAGGTACTCCTACCATTGCAGTACCTTCCAGAAGGAGTAGTTTTCTACTGAGGTAGAAGATGGTGTGATCTTCTTCCTCTAACACCTGTTCTAGAATAGGTACATACTTGCAGGTGTTCCCTTTCCCCAAGCCATCTGTTTACAGGTCAAGGGGATTCTGACCCAGAGCCTGTATCAAGTCTTGGAATTGATTTATCATCTCTGAACTGCATTTTGTGTTATTCTGTTCACTCTGTTCTGTTAAGTTCATCAAGGGACTTTTGAATTAAATTTCTGATAATATGCCATTAGCCTCAGGAGAGTGTGGATGGAATTTTTAATTTTTGTAGGAGGGCAGTATTGAATGATACTATTTCCAAATAAATACAGTACTAATTGTGTATCTATGCTGCTCTTGTCTGGATTTTTTTCAGCCTAGTCTCATGCAGACCTTCAGAAACAGATTACAAGTGGCTGAAGTGGGTGTTCCATGTTATTTAAACAGAGTGAGGACGTAATCTAAGTGGTCCATTTGCCTTGGGAGTGTAGCTTGAGAGCTGTACAATTGCAAGGGCAGCACCTTGTATTGATATTATTCTCTAGTTGTAGAAAAGGCCATTCTGGATTGGCTTCTCTCATTAATTTCTGCTTTCCTTTGGTGTTATCAGCTTTGGGAGGTATTAAGATTGATTTGTCTTGTCAAAATAAGACACCTCATTAAGTCTGTGGAAGTCATTGCAGATTATTTGAATTCCATTTTGTTTGTCTTTTAAAACAATTAGTCAGATTAGAGAACAGAGCTGCTCTCTTCCATGACATCAAATCCAGGATTTGTTATACGTCACTATGGATTTATGCATGTTATGCCTCTAGACCTCAGTGGGATGGGCTCAAGGGTCAGAATGAGGACCAAAAGTCAACCCCCAGGTGAAATTGATGGGTCTGAGCTCGGAGGTATAGTATACTTTTCATCTGTGCAGAGCAATCTGCTCTTGTATATTTTGAACATCCAAGAGTTACTCAGTTGGACAGCTAATTTCCCTTGGATGTTGTCTATATAGCAATTCAAAACTGGAAGAACTCAGGGAAATCCTTCAGGTTGCCTTCTCTTAACATCTGTTAGATGACTATATGAACCTCTCTTCTCAGTTGTCTATTTTGGGATGATATACAGAGAAAATGGTACCACTGCAAATGAAGCAACTGAAACTACATACAGTACTATAGCTGTTTCTTGCAGTAGATAGGAAGTAAATGGCAAGTCTTGCTCTCTTAGTATTTCTTGGAAACTCCTGATTTTCTATGGCTTCAGATATTGAGGGGTGTAGTGTACTATGCCTAAACCTACTTAAGACACTGAACACCTTCCAACAATGGTCATACATTCTACCAATCTGATCTTAACAGCAGACACCACTTAATCAACCCTACTGAAGATACATTTTAATCACCATAATGCCTACAGTGTGTCTGTGATGCTAATACAATTCTTATTTTCCTCATAACTTTGTGAATTTATTATAGATGTAAGTAATCCTTTTCATTTGATCAGTATAACCTTATAATTATCTAGAATTTGTTATATCAACAAAGGGTCACATATTTGTGGCATCCAGTATTATTTGTGTATGCTCCTTGTGAGGTTGAACAGGTTTGCAAATGTGTGAAGTGTTTTAATATTTTGCTTAGATATTTTAACAATGTTTTAAGAGCAACAAAAAAGTACTTTAGCAATGAAAAAAAAATGTAAATGAGCAAGCTTGAGCAAGGCTTGCAGTGGAATGGAAATGTTAGGGTTCCCTGATCTATGCAATCAATAGTCATCAATCTGACACATGAGCCATGACACAGCATCACTTCAGCTTGAGTGGTCACTGAGGTTGCCATAGATTGTTTTACAGGGGAATGCAATGACTTGAAAAGTTTAGACAATTTGACAAGCGTAATTTCTCTCTTCCGGGTAATGTCTGTTACTCTGCTACTTGTTTCAGAGGTGCGGTCTGAAATTTTTAAGAGAGGTTATGACTATAACAGGAATGACCAGCGTAGTAATTGTGGTTTGCCACCTTCTTTTGTCAGGTGCTTTTCTGATTCCATATTTTTTGACACTGGTCTTCGCTGGGATTCCACTCTTCCTGTTGGAGACAGCTCTAGGCCAGTACACCTCCGTGGGCGGACTGGGAGTATGGAAGCTAGCACCCATGTTCAAAGGTGTGTGGAAAAACGTACAGCTTACAGTTTTCTGACCTCTTTATGAAATAAATTTGTATGAGCTGTCAATGAGACACAGTGTTGTTTTGTGTGAAAGTGCTGCAATACTTTGTAGTAGGATTATGATATTACTATTAACTCAAAATTAAAAGCAAACAACTTTCTGTTAATAAAGTAAAGCAAACACTCCCTTGAAATATGAATTATTTTCATATTGGTCAATAAAAATATTATTGTTTGGTGAATACTAATACTAATACTAATACTAATACTAATACTACTACTAATACTAATACTAATACTAATACTAATACTAATAATAAACACATGGTGGTTTAATTAAACTATTTGGCAAAAAAAAATAAAGTTCTGTTTTTATACAGCAAAATCTATAGTTTACTCAAATTTATGAGACTAAGTTTTATATCTGCTGTGTGTATCAGACCAAACTAAATAATATATTGTATGTTTCTCATTGAGCAGTCAAGAGACTGCTCCACATGAAGTAATCTCTTTAAATGTTTCAGTAGCTTGTTGTTCTGTCTTCCTCAGGAGTTGGTCTTGCTGCTGTAGTCCTGTCTTTTTGGCTGAACATTTACTACATCATCATCATCTCCTGGGCACTATACTATCTATTCAATTCCTTCAGATCTGTAAGTTTGACTATTTTAAAGTGTTCATTAAATCAAATCACAAGTACTTTTCAACAAATTTCTATTTTTTTACCTTTTTGTCACTTCTTTAACCAGTCAATGTGCACATTACTGTATATTATAAAAAGGAGGTGTTCGTAAAGCTCACAACAGTATTTCTTTTAACATTCCATTTGGGGGGGGGGGGGTTGTGTTGTTTGAATTCCTAATACCCTTTTGTATCTTGTGTATCTTTTCACTGCTTTGTAATCTTGAACAAATTGTCATTTATGTGACTTAAGGGAAGAGGAAACTGTTTTAACTGGAGTACTCTGTAAGATTATTGCATCTACTAAATGATGAATTGCAGTGATTCTACCCTTTTAGGAAGTATACAATGCTATGCCATGTATAATTGGATAGGGGAGTAGAGGCATTGGCCAACAGCTGTAGCAGCTGTTAGTCAAAATAACTCTTGAGTTTTTATATTTTTGAACAACAGGAGCTGCCATGGCAAAGTTGTGATAACCCATGGAACACTGAACGCTGTTTCTCAAACTACAGCCTCTTGGACACCACTAATATGACAAGCGCTGTCACTGAATTTTGGGAGTAAGTTGTTCATGTTAAGAGTTATTTAGAGCCAATGTGACGAATGACACTGAGATGCTCAATCCACTCAAATGCATCAAGAAATGTAAAAAAAATACTCATATATTTACTCATATTGTCCTTTATCCCCTGGCATTAGATTGTCATTTAGCTTTCAGAAAGATATCTATTGGAGAGGGGAATTCTAATTAGGAAGAAAATGCATTTTAATGTGAACTTCATTAAACAATTAGGAGAGTCAATATTTAAGTTAATGTTTTCAGTAAATACAAAAATTACCTCTTCTAATATGAAATTCAGTGTTTCTTTGTGATAATATCCCTTGAACATAATTGTTGGTTATTCAATTGAAAGGCTTTAGGTTGGTTTTATTTTCCAGGAGAAATATGCACCAGATTTCCAATGGTTTGGAGGAACCTGGTGAGGTGAGATGGCCTCTTGCAGGTACTCTGGCACTGGCATGGGTTTTGGTCTATTTTTCCATCTGGAAAGGGGTTGAGTGGACTGGGAAGGTAAGCAGGTTTCACAATGCATTAGTTATCCATTAAGCTGACTGATTATTGTCACATCTTCAAGATATGTTTGGTGAGGACAGCCTTAGAGAACTCTTTAAGACTGTAGCAGAGAGAGCTCTCTTAGAGATTTCCATAGCAACCAGCTGAGATTACACAATCTGAGTGTCCCAATGTAATGTCTCTCTTTTAGAACCTAGACAGTGTCGAGGCTTTTGACAGTATAGAATTTGTTAAGAAGATGATGTGAGTTCTTGGTAAATATCATTTTTTTCTGGAAAGCCAAAGTGTTCTGCTTTCTTAATAACAGTACTATTAGAGTAAATGCAAATACATGTGCCTTACTTTTGGTTATGTTAAAGAGCCCTCATACCAGTCTTTGATCTGGCTGAGGGTTGTGATCTTTGGCTGTACATTTATGTCCTTAGGAAGCAAGACAGACATGACACACCAGCGCATTTGATTTCAAATGGAGCAGATACAGTATCATAGCGCAGCTATCACAAAACGAGCCAAATGACAGATAGTAAATGCACTTCTTGTATCAGCTGTGAAGTCTAAACTGTACAGTACATCTTTTCCATGCCACCTTATGGCAAGTGAATTCCCACAGAGCTGAATTTTAGATTTCTCAACAGACATCAGTTTGAAAGCCTTCCTTTCTTGCTCACAGCTGTGGATCTACAAATTGCCTCTTGGAAATGCTTCTTATACTGTAGGTCAAATCTTCGCTAAGACATTGTGTTTTCAGAAAAATGCCAGTTTTTCTATTGTAACACCTCAGGAGATAGGCTTGTACATTTTCCTTTTAATTTCAGTTTAAAAGCTTTTGTGTGGTGGACAATTTATCAGGAAGTTAGTCTTGTGGAAATAGAGAAGAGGAGATGGTATTTCCACCAAATCTATTAAACTGTACAAGAGGACGCAAAGCCTTTGTGATTGCTTTGTGTTATCAACGTCTTTAAAGACATAAAAGTTACTAATGATGATGAAGAAACAAAAGAGTACTTTCATAGGAAATTCAAAACACTAAGCCATCTAAATGGAAAATCTAATAAGTCAAAATAAAAATTATATCATTTTTTAGGTTAAAATTAAACATCTGAGGAACATTTTTTTAAAATCTGGATATTAACTAATAATGATCTGTACTGTACACCATTATGATCTAATGGATTTAATCAAGACAAAAGCCTGTCATTCACAATTTATCACATCATCTTTTTACAAATTGTGGAATTGCTTAGCTTCACATTTGTTCAAAACAGGCCTAAATGGTCATAATAATCCTTATTGACCCAAAGACTTTTTAATTCAGTGCACTGTAACACTACTGACTACTAAGTATACAAACTGAATGGCAGCTTAAAATATACCATGTTCAGCAAACTTTATAAATAAGAAACAGAAAGGTTAAAACTGATTAGTAATACTGTGAACACGAAGTATTCACATCAAAACAGATAATGCAATATCTTTCAATATATTCATTTGACCTAGAAAGAATGTTTGAGGAACATGTTTTAGTTTCAAGGGCATCATGACAAGAGTCAAATGTAAAACCTTTCATGTAAAGAATAAATAACAAAGTGTTACATGAATAAAAACAAACAGAAACACTATTAATGTCATGGTTAACTACAGTAAGTAAATAAAGTGCTGCATTTCTAGGTACTTCCAAAATGGATTAGTCTTGCTTTTGACCATTGCTGTTGGGTGTGTTGAATTATTTTTTCCTTCCGTTTCATTCTCTCAGGTGGTCTATTTCTCAGCCACATATCCTTATTTCATGCTTTTCATCCTGTTCTTCCGGGGGGTTACTCTTCCAGGGGCAAAGGAAGGTATTCTGTTCTACATCACACCTGACTTCAGCAAGCTTACCAGATCTGAGGTATGTCCAAGAGCCTAAAATGGAGCTCTGTTACTCTATGACATGTAGTAAATCACTACAAACAACATCTAAGAACAAAGTCTATCGAACATGTTTCTTGACTGTATTAGTCATAGTAAATTTGGCTTAACCTGCTTGGCCGAGCACCACTCTTCTGGCCATAGGACAAGGAGGTTACAACCCCCATACAGAGTGAGGAAGGAGCAGGAGGTACTGTAGCTCCAATGGTAGAGATGGCATGGAGGAGGCATGAAAAAGATGAATGTGAAGGAGAGAAGGGTCTAACATAAAGATGCAGACGCTCAGAACGCATGTTAATTCGTTGGTGGTACCGCAGATCGGCAGGATGTGTGATTCACTGGCCAAAGCCACTTGTGGTGCATTAGATGTTAGTGAAATGATTGCTTCATTTAATCTCTCTACTGTGCATCTTAATACGTGTGTCTTCAATCCACATAATATAGAATGTTAATATGGAATGTATGTAACAAAAGGGAAATTTTGGTACTGTAGCTGAAAGTTAAAACAATAGAGGTATAACATCTCTGAACATCATAAACTACATTAATTTATTAACTGAAATACATTAGACCTAATGTACGGTAGCTGGTAGAGGTAGCTAGAAATAAAAAAATACACAACACTATTTCACCTTCTTCATAAACATTTTCTGCATCAAAGTCTTTTACTCAGTCACTGTGTTTAATTTGGAAAAAAATGATTTGTTCGAACTTTACTCATTGTAACTACAGTATATAGTTTATAGAAACATATAATGTTTTAACCTTATCTATGAATACCTGCTGTCATTATTGTTGTAAAAAGAGGTAAAGTATGTTTTTAAAATACTTAATAGGGAATATTAATATAGAATCATGTAACTAAAGAAATGTTGGTAACTGAAAATAAAAATAGTTTGTAAATGTCATTAATGATATTAATGTATGGATATATATACATAAAATACAGTTTATAAATTGTAGTAGTACCATATTCCATTTTCTTGTAAATATCTGTATCAATTTCATTAACTCATTCACTTACGGTTATTTTGAAAACATTTTGATGTTCAATTTAAAATTAAAAAAATCTACTTTGCAAGCAAACACAAGTTCTCAAAATGAATCCTTTTCTTTTGTGCAATATTTTTTTATAATTTCAAAACCTTTGACAGTATGCCTCAGGGATAAATTCATAGTATAATCAACACAAAACATCCACTGGACACACCTGGATCTCAAATGCAGGTGTGACATACAGTAGGTTTAATAACTTCTGTTTCAAAAGATTTCTGATTTGTTTTAAAACTTGTATCTATTGTAATTGTTAATATAATGGAGATATAATCGACTGCTTTATTACTTCAACATCTCTCAATAGCATCAATGGCATTTCCTGGAGCTTGCCTTGCATTTCATTTGTCCCGCAGCATCAGAGTTCCTGTACACCTCGAGATACAGCAGCACTAATGCTACTTTCTAGAGCACGTTGTTTGTGTAGTCTAACTCCATTATTATTATGAGATGGTACGTGTCTTTTAAAATTGAATATATGTCCGTCACCGAGTGTAGTTTTAGAACTTCGGCCACATTAATCGACTACAGTACATGAACAAAGACTGCATGCCTCACATGCTAATCACAAGAAGTCATATTCAAATATATGCTGAAAGAACAGCGTATACGTCAATGAACCGCAGTATTATCGGATACTGTTTAAATATACTGCATAAACAGTAAACTATTTAGGTGGTTTTACAAAATAGTGCAGTCCTGCAACAGAATATTTTTTAATAAGAGTGTTGTAACATGGTACTGTATGTACTGTATACCAAATTATCATCATGCATTCTGAATTGCTGGATCTGTGCTGTAAAGCTACTATATGCAATGTACCATTGTAAAAATGCTACAGTAAAATTATTATGTTTTTTTCGAACCATCTGTAACACTCCCATTTTTTAGCTCCATCTTTTTTATAACTCAAACCTCCAACTATAATCTTTTGCATGTACTGTCATAGTGTAGGCACACTCCAAAAAATGTGCTCAGGTGTGATATGAGTGGAACTTAAATGAAGTGAACAATGTCATGCTTATACAGGGTAGGTTAGGATTTATCAAAGCTGTAAAGTGGAATTTGTAAAGGCCTTTCCTTATTGCTTTTAGATTTAGAGTTTCAATTTAAATGCCAAGCCTATGAAGCAAACAAATGTCAGAATGTGATTGTGGCACATGATTTTAATGCATCTACTGTAAGATCAAAATAATCTTCCCTCTAGGTCTGGCTGGATGCTGCCACCCAGATCTTCTTCTCCTATGGCTTGGGCTTGGGCTCATTGATTGCTTTAGGAAGCTATAATAAGTTTCATAATAATGTATACAGGTAAGTTTTTTTTCTGTTTTCCATCAGAGCTGTGCCGTATTGCATGTTTGCCATGTTTTAATCAATACTTTCTATGAGGTACATGAGTTTATGACTATTTTCCAGCTAAATGTGGACAGTGCAGGCCAGTATTTTTGACTTACTGTACTGTATATTCTTAGACCTGGGTAAAATTCCGCAACTGGGGTGCTATCTGCTTGGAGTTTGTATGTTCTCTTCACATTTGCATGAGTTTCATTTGGGTGCTCCGGCTTCGTCCAACAGTCCAGAAACAAACTGATAGGTTAATTGGCTTCTGGAAAAATTGGATCTGGTATGAAGTGTGTGCCTTGTGCCTGTTGCGCTCCTGTGACCCTGAATTAGAAGAAGTGGTTAGAAAATGGATAGATATATCTGAAAATTTTGAAAACTCATGCAATATGCAGTATTACTTGCCATTAATGCAGTATTTATTCTTGCTCAATTTCTGTATACTAGAACGTATATTAAATTCCTATAATACACAGTAACGCATTAGTGGTGTTGTAACTGATTAAAAAATAAACATTTTATATTTGATCAAAACAGGATTGACTCACATGGTAGCCTTGTACTGTACCTCTATATGAATAGTCAGTACCCAGTCCCAATACTCCCAATGGAGTATTGTCAACTACTATATAATTATATAAATCACTGTGTTATTTTTTGTTGCTTTTCTTTGGGTTCTAACTTTTTGAAGAATAATGCTAAAAAGTAGATTGGTGATGCATTTCATTCTCTGCAGGGATTCGATTATTGTATGCTGCATCAACTCCAGCACAAGCATGTTTGCAGGCTTTGTTATCTTCTCTATTGTGGGATTCATGGCCTACATCACCAAGAAGCCTGTTCAAGAACTTGCTGCCTCAGGTAAACTTATGTAAAGCTCTATACCTTCCAGTGGGTTACTCTGTTGTGATGTCATGGTAAGGTTAGTCCAGAAACCCTGAGTATCTAGAATCTGTGCCATAGCCAGCAGCCATATCGCTCTGCAACTCACAACTGGCAACCTACTGAAGCCAAGCAGGTGTGAGCCTGGCAAGTACCTGGATGGGTGACCTCCTGGGGAAAAACTAAGGTTGCTGCTGGAATAGGTGTTAGTGGGGCCAGCAGGCGGCCCTCACCCTGCGGTCCATGTGGGTCCTAATGCCCTAGTATAGTGACATGGATACTATACTGTAAACAGATGCCGCCCTTCGGATGAGACATAAAATCGAGGTCCTGAGTATCTGTGGTCATTAAAAATCCCAGGCTGTTTCTCGACGAGAGTAGGGGTGTAACCCTGGCATCCTGGCCAAATTTCCCATTGGCCCTTACCAATTATGGCCTCCTAATAATCCCCATCTATGAATTGCCTTCATCACTCTTCTCTCCTCCCCACTGATTGCTGATCAGCGTTTTGGTGCACTATGGCTGCCGTTGCATCATCCAGGTGGATACTGCACATTGGTGGTGGTGGGGAGTCCCCATTACCTGTAAAGCTCTTTGAGTGGATTGTCCAGGAAAGCGCTATATAAGTGAAAGCGATTATTATTATTATTATTATTATTATTATTATTATTATATTATGTTTGTACATGTTTGAAACTGTCCTTAAATTATCACAAAGAAGGTGAATCTAAGTACACAAAGCTTGGTTTGTTTTGCAATAACCCCTCATTGTTGCTGTGATTGGTTAAAGATGGCTAGTTTTACAAGTACAGTATGGATGTCATTGGTGATGATGTTAAAGGAGCCAAAATGTCAGGAAGCTGGACCCTAAGGTGTTGGAGACATGTGCCAGGGGGAAATCTTTTGTAATTGTAATTTAAGTCTCAAGCTTCTCTTTCTATAGCTTCAAATACCTTAGAAAGAGAGGTTGGTTAAATTGCAGCATCAAATTTGGAGCCTATGCAGAAGTGTACATGCTTTCAATAGTCAGCAATAGTCACCAGTAGTGTACAAAAATGTTAGTAGTTGTGAGGAGCTGAAACCTCAGCATTCAAAACAATGTAGGACTTGCTAACAAAAAAGGGAACCTGTCAAATTGTGATTAATGAGCACATGTGCATCAGTAAGAGATACTGAAGATGAGCTTCTTCTAGGAGAATAATCTCAGTTAGAAGTATACTGTAGTTTGAATGTCATCCCCTACACTCTGGAAATACTGTAAGGTAAAGCCTTACAATTATAAACATGGAATCTGAGTTTAGAAATTATCAGAGCACAATTGCTTTTGAGAACCAGGAGATACCTCAATTACCAATCTGAATGGATGTCCTGTTGCTATGAAACAACATACAGTAGTTATTGCTATAAATTTTCCCTTATGGAAAAAAGAACACAAACTGGAGAGAGTGTAAAATGCAGGTACAATGACTACACTACAATTACAGTGCATTTACACCATAATATAAATAGGTCTTAGAAATAAATTACTTGCATATACAGTAAGAACCTATTATTCAACATGTAATTGCAATACAAGCTGGGACTTTTTTCTGTTTTGATAATAACATTTAAGTTTAACTCCACAATTTACATGTACAGTAAGATATAATGCAGATGTATCGTAATTACAGTGAGCATTAGGGTGCCCGTATTATGAAGCAATTGAAAAGACATTAATTTAAACTTTTTTCTATAAGCCAGTAATTAATAGTTAATATGAATTTATAGTTAAAGGATTCAGTCTTAATTTCTGAAAATTGTCATACTGTACAGTATGTGAGTTATTCAGGGTGTTATGTTGTTTCCATAGTTGAAAATAGTTAACTAATATACCTCACCTGCATATACAGTAGTGTGTCAGGATTCTTTTTTTCTTTACTTTGGATGAATAAAAAAGTCATTTTAAAAAAGAATAGTATGTTTGAACCAATTTTATTGTAGTGTGTCATGTTCATCAAAAGTATTTTGAGTCTGAAATGAATTTTATTTAATATGGATATGAAATATGAATGATCAATTGTTATTTTATATCAGTAGAAGGGAATTAAAATGAAAGAAGCACATGGGCCATGTTAATGGGTGATCTCTGGTGCCATGTAGGTCCAGGCCTGGCATTCCTTGCGTACCCACAGGCTGCGACTCAGCTGCCCATGTCATCCTTGTGGGCCATCCTCTTCTTCTCAATGCTCATGATGCTTGGCCTGGACAGCCAGGTTAGTAGCTACCTGTATCTCATCTCACGATACATATCCACACGTAATTTCAAATATTCAACAGCTTAAGATATAATAATGCTTTGGATAGCCAGTATTTTAAACATTTTTTCCCTTTCTTACAGGTATGTATCTTTTAAATAGTAGGTACTCTGTTTCCTTCAGAATAATTGCTTTTGTACATTAAAACTTTGTGGTAGCTTTGGTTTCCACCCACAGTCCAAAGGCATACTGGTACAGTAGGTAGGTTGGCTTCTGGGAAAACTGGCCCTGGTGTGAGAGTGTGCTTGTTTGTGTCTGTGCCCTGTGATGGACTGGCATCCCAAGACCACATTCCTGACTTGTGCCAGTGCTAGGATAGGCTTTGTCTCCCCCGTGACACTGTATTAGATAAAGTGGTTAGAAATTAATCTTTATTGGAAATAAACAAGCCCATTTGATTCATTTTTGTGGCTGAGCTAATAATGCTGATTTTTATTATTAATGTCTCCATTCAGTTTTGCACAGTGGAAGGTTTTATCACTGCGTTGATGGATGAATATCCACAAGTGCTAAGGCAAAGAAAGAAAGTGTTCATTGCTGTCGTTTGTGCAGTTTCCTACCTTATTGGCTTCTCAAACATCACTCAGGTAAGCTAGTTTGGGAAATCAAGGCGGTACAAGATGTACTTGTTCTTTTATCTGGGGCTGATCAAAGCAAAAAAAAACTATGCACATGTAAATTCATTTTAATTTTGGGGAAATCATGAACTTTAGAAAGTCTAAATTTTACTGATTTTATCATGTTCATGGGGTCAATTTGGTCTTTTACAAGATTACTGAAAAAAGAGTGAGAAAGCAGCCAGTAACATCTTTGATCTCCCCAAATCATGATACATGTATAATATACAGTAGTGCCTCCTGTTTTTTGTCTTTTAATTTAGAACTTTAGACTTTATAAGTTGAGCAAACAAATTGAATTCAGAGGGTTGTAAGGATAAAAAGACAAGCTTCTTTAGGGCAACAGCGTTTGCTACGGAAAAGTAACTGTTTTAAATATTCGTTATTCTCTGCACCAAAAAACACCAGCTCAAACTTAAACGTTGAGTTGGAAAGCAATCAAAGAATGATTAAAGAACATATTCCTATTTGACTGCATTATCCCTCATTAAAATGCTATATTTCATAAATCACTTTTATGCAAACTTGTTACAGATCTCTTGTATATGATTACAAGAACTAAAACAAATCTGTATCTGTAGTAGGGATGCACAAAAGCATTATTAAACTGCATAAGGTTAAGCATTTTGTGTAATCTGTATTCACCAACTGGTGGTGTAAGAGACTATACTTCATCATCCTTAAACTGGACATGGCCACAAGGCAAATTATTTTTACATATTTGTAAATATTGAGCTTAATTACCAAGACATTATTCCAAAGGAATTTACTTAGCCATGTTTGACTGAATATTTAATTTTACTATATGTTTCATGGGTACTACAGCAAGGGGCTATTCAATACCTTTCAATTCAATGCAATACCTTTATTGCTATTAATAGTAAGTCAGTTGTCAAGGCTTTAGCATGCAGTGTTTTTTAAAGGCAAAGCAGCAAGAGGTCTGCCAATTATCCCTTTTGCTTGGTGTTTTGTGACCTATTTACACTTAACAATTTGCTATTATTTTTGAAGGTTGCTTATTTCTTCTTATTTCTAATGAATGGCTTGACTTCAGAGCTGTCTGTTTCCATGTGTACAGTATGTGTATTGCTCTCTCCAGGGTGGCCTGTATGTCTTCAAGTTGTTTGACTATTACTCAGCCAGCGGAATGTGTCTGCTTTTCCTTGTCTTCTTTGAGACAATCTCCATATCCTGGTGTTACGGTGCGTACGGACATCTATTTTCAGCAGTATTAAAGCTCCAATTAAAAAAAATCTTCAGTAATATTTCCCATAAAAAATGACGGAAACTACTGTATCATCTATTTTTAGATGTAATACAGTATGTAAAATGTGGATAAGTGAGGTACAGACTATTCTTGAAACTGACTTTGAAAATGAAATTCTTGTCATCACCAAGGCAGTAAGACAGTGGCTAGAAAACTATTGATCCAATAACATATTAATTTAATCTAATAACAGAAGTTTTAATTGGGAGCCAAATATGAAGGTTTTGTATTTTATTGCATTTTTTCTTTTATATTTCTGTTTGTTAAAAACCATAAACTGCCGAACTAATTACTGTACAGTAGCTTTCATAAGAGTATAAATGTGAAAACAATTTAGGAACTCCCCCTATTACTGCATTTAGTTTACGTCATGTGTTGTGAGGCAAAAACTGTTCTGTTCCAAGCTCCTTGTTGAGAATTCAGCACAATTCAACATTGTTCTTAAACAAACAAAAGATGTGGTTCATAAGCTATTAGGAAAACTCTTCAAGCTACTGCTCAAGGCAATAGCATTACCAATTAACTGGAAAAGGATATATTTAACAGGCAATTTGGAGGAGGTCAGATTCTATTGTTAAACTTCTACTCTCCTTTATTTATACTCCCCACTGTACATTCCCACAACCCTGGAATACAGTACATTTTTTCTAGAAATTCACATTTCGGTCTAATTGCAGACAGACATGTTTTACACCCTGTAAAGAGCATACCTTTATCACTTTCTCTGGTCCAGACCAGAGTCATTTTCTTGCCTTGAACAACCAACACTTTAATATCAGATTCTCTGGAGTAAACCCCAACCACCTCATCTTCTTGATTAAACTTGCATTATATTTGCTGCTCATTCATTCCACACTACATGGACATTATCTTCAGCACCTGTGAAACTTTCATGCTGGACTTACTTGGTCCTGACAAAGTATTTAGAACACTATCTCTATATTTGTTGGCTTGTTTACTCACAATGTTTGCATATTGACAAACATGGAAATGTGTTTATCAGTATATATAATACAGTATATTATAAAAGTAATACAATTATATATAACATTATACTGTATATACAGTAATAGTATTTTTTATACTTTACAGTATATGCAGCAAATACTGTTTTTTTCCCTCTCCTTGTCTGTACTAGGGGCAGACAGATTTTACAGTAACATTGAAGAAATGATTGGCTATAAACCCTGTGTCTGGTGGAAGCTTTGTTGGCGTTATTTCACACCTTTAATCTGCTTGGTAAGAATAAACCATCATATGTTTCTTAGGATTGATTCAATTGTGGCTATGAAGGGGGAGTTTTTATTTGAAAGGAATGATCTTCAGCCAGAGCTGTATGACAATAGTTTACATTTTCCTTTCGTTTACAGCCATTTGGATGAGCTTTATTATGTTCCCGGATGACAGTTTAAATTAGTAAAAAAGTTTGTTTAGTGCTTTTACCATAGTTTGATGTGTTTTTTTTGTGTCAGTATGCTTTTGTTACTTTACAATTGTGATTGTGTAAACACTTTTTCACTGTCAGTTTTATATAAATAATTTATTTACTTTCAGGCCTTAATTTATTCTGAACATTTCTTAGACCTAGATCTTTTTATAAGAAACTTGTTTATGTAAACTTGTTTATTTATGATAATACAAGACTGTTCCATAGATTTTAAAGTGGGTTTTGAACTTTTCTCTGGACAATGAACTGGCAAAAATATTGCTCTGTTTTTCCATATATAGGGGGTATTCCTTTTCAGTGCCATTGAGATGACCCCTCTGACCCTGGGGAAATATGTTTTTCCTGCTTGGGGCCAGGGAATTGGGTGGTTAATGGCACTTTCTTCCATGATACTCATTCCAGGATACATCATCTACATGTTCTTGACCACCAAAGGGAGCATCAGGAAGGTAAATACCCTTAAACCTTGGTCTATCAGCTATGATAAAGCCAAGCTAAACATAACTGCCTTAGCAATGCCTAGGACTTGAGCTCCGACAAAATTGTTCCAGTCCTTCATTGAAACTAATTTGACTACTCTGTTTTGACCGGTAACTGCTCTTAACACCAGTGAAAGTGTAAATGGCTTGCTAACCAATGCCTTTTCACAATTGAAGCCATTATTTAACAACTGACTTGGTGAAACAACTCCAAGGCTGAGAACTATAAAATCTGAATTCTGATAAACAGTCACTGTCAAAAGAGAAAAGGAATGTTAACTTGACTTTTCTAATTTCAAAATTGATTTTCTAGGGGACAAGTGAGCTTTGTTGAATTGAAAGATTTTGGTGTATTCCTTGACATACTTTTTGTTTTTTTGTTTTTTCATAGCGTTTCCATAAGATGACCAACCCCAAGGAGGATTTCAAAGCTCATAAGACCTCATTGACAGGAAGTTTAGAAGATGCTGTAGTTTAAAACTTCTCTACTACCCAAAATGTATTACCAGCCAGAACCAAATTATCACTACTTTTCTATAGAGGGAAGTTGAACCAACCCGAAGCCTGTGATTCACCCTAATACTGTATGTCAAACATTGTCTAAGTAACACAGAGAATGTGGAGGCTGGGTCTCACATTCATGTGACCTTTAATTGTCCTCAATTGTAACTGCATCTTAATGATAGAGCATCACAACCTTTGAAGTTCTTTATTCACCCTTTACTGTTGTCATTCTTTACTTCGACATAGAGGATGTATTACTCATGTAGTATAAATGTGGGATGATTGTGTTACCTAAAAATTAGATGTATACAAATTCCGCTAAATAATCTTGGTTGTGAATGAATACTTGATCAGAGGTAAATGTAGGAGTTAATTAGTATTTAAAATTTTCCAGTAGATTCATCACAGTGAATTTACATTTGAAATACTAACAGCGACAAAAGGTGAAATTCTGTACTTAAGCTTCCTCTCATTTAAACATTGTCTGTGACATCATGATATTGTACACATAGTATAATGTTAACTTTATAACTTAAGGCAGTTATTTAATGGCACATTATAATTACTGGTTTATATTTTAAAATGGCATATTTTAAGTGTTTTAAGTGTTTGAGTTTTTCAAATGTGTATACTTACTTTCATGTTTCAGTTAAAGATTATATTTCTAACTTTATATTTTTAGTGAATTGCAAACAGAAATGTTACAAATATACTGTGGCAAAATTTGTGTCCTGGTAAAACCTTTCTTCCAATATTGGATTTTATATTAATTAATTATTAAAAAGATTATTATTGTCTTGTTGTAGTGAAATTATTTAAGCTTTGGCTTCGCTAACTTAATAGACAGATACTTCATGAAGGATATAAAATACAACACCTTTACAACTTTTATATTTATTTAATGTATTATTATATATTTTGTACAGTAAGTTGCCTGAGATAAGGGATTCTACGTCCACTAAGGAAGCATCTAACTTAGGAAGCGTCACTTGCAGTTAAGATCAAAGTGATATGTTTACTTGTTTTGCTTTTTTTTTAACATTCCTTCCTTAGGATTCTGTTGTAAAATAAATTTTAATTCAGAAGACACTATTTTAAAGACCAGTAACACTTATTGAAGATTCTTGTTTAGGTAGCAATATTTAGAACATAAGCTGTTTTTTTCCTTTTTTAAAGTTTGGTAATCCATTCTGGAAAACCCAACATTGGAGAATTCAGTGCAGCTCCAAGCAAGGCTCAAGTAAATACTATACATTAAAAATAATTCATCATCTTATAGATAAAGACATGGCTACTGTATAGACACAGAATTAGGATGCAAATTACTTAATCAAATGTGCTTGCCTGTGCCCTGTCTTAGATCAGTACATAGATGGATGACAAGAGGCCATGCTGAAAAACTTTATTGCCACATCACAACTTTTAGTTCACTTGGCTTCTGAATGTTCTGTGTCTGTGTTTTTTTTTGTTTTACACCCAAACCTAGAGTCAAAGTCGTTGAAGTAATGGAATATGGATTACTGTACCTTATTGAGCCATGCTCTAAAAAGCTTGATTATCAACAGATATAACATAATTTTTTCTGATTTCTGATATTATTAACATACTGTAGTGTATCAATATCATTGCTCAGTAGTAGAATACAGCTTGGCAGTCTTAACTATACTACATGCATTTGAAGAAAGATGTGAAGACGGGGGTTTGAATTTAATCCTTTCTGTATGATGTTTAGACTTCTAAGTCACAAGCTGGGGTTTATGGCAGGAAAGGGGGTTAACTGATAAGGATTGCAGATGCAAGCTAGGAACCCCCCTGGGTGTAATCTTAAATTGACCATTTGGCCAGGACATCGTAAACTGGCCAAATACCATGAACCCCCCTCTTTACCATCAGACCGAGTGACGTCAGAAACGGAGAAGAAGACACTATATAACCCAAAAGTTTGTACCAGTAAACTCATCTGTTTTACTTGATCTCGGGTTCAAGAACCTTATTCGTTCTGTTACAACACATTATACATACTGTAATTATACTACATGCATTGCAAAGTAATTTGGTTGCAATGCTTATGTTTTATCTTCTGGTATTTGTGGTACATACTGTAGGATATACTGTACAGTATATACAGTATGGATTATTTTAAGGTATAGTTGTACAGTGTCTTGAAACTAAAGCTTACAAGAGTCATTTCTTGCATTCTTTTCTCAGTAGTGGCCCCAAATGTATGGGCTTGTATTTGGCGTTGGGGAATCGCTTCTCTTGACTTGAGAATCACCAGGCCTTATCTGTGCAACTCTCCTTTACAGTTCTTCTAGCCTTTGTGGTGACACAAGGAATACACATGCACCATTATTAAGGCATGTTCCATGTTCTTAGAAAGGAATGAGTACACACACTCTCTAATATCAAATACTATGACTTACAGACCTAACTGGCTCCTAGAAAAGTGAGCTCAATGATGATGGCTACTGTAATCTCTAGTTCACAGAGAAAAGTGCACTCCCCCTGTACCAGTGTGTAGATTTTTCATTTGCGTTACTGTATGTCATGGAGTGACAAAAGGGGAAGTAGGGCAGCAGCGGCATGGAGGCCGTGTATCAGTTAGGCACATAACGTTCAGTGATTTTGTCAGTTATGGTGATTTGTGTTTTTGTTCGCTCTTGTGTCTGCTTCCCTCTGCCTTTGAGGTTTTCTTGTTCCGTGGTGCGTGCAGTTCAGCAGGCGAGAATCCCTAATGATCCATCACAGAACAAATGGTGCGAGACTGTCAGGTCTGAAGAGGTTGCTATAGAGAACTAAAGAAGCGCACTACATTTGTCTTCTTTGGCAAGGCAGCAAGACATATACCTGGATGATCAGATTGAGCTGATTGGGGAATGTGGAGCATATTGGAATTTTTGGGAGATGTGGCAATGAACAGACAGGGATGGAACTGCATGAAATATAAGGAGTGCTCCTTGGGACCTTTATTTATAATTAATAATAATAATAATAATAATAATAATAATAATAATAATAATAATAATAATAATTGCTTACACTTATATAGCGCTTTTCTGGACACTCCACTCAAAGTGCTTTACAGGTAATGGGAACTCCCCTCCACCACCACCAATGTGCAGCATCCACCTGAATCAAATCATTATTTGATTTCTGGGGACTATGGCTTTAATTTTTGTGTCCCTTGTGGATATGTTTTTTTAGAGTAGAAAGTGATAACATACTGCCGTTTTAGAGAATTAAAAACTGTAATTATGTAATATAAGCATCTTATGGTTGTCTGTGGGTATGATTGTGGTTCTGTGGGATATGACAGCCTGTGTGGAGAGAAGTATCTTAGTACCTTAGAATTGCTGTGTGGTGTAGCCAGCTACAGGATTTGCTAATAATCACTACCACCATACTGTGACAATCAAACCAAACCAATTAAATCCATTACCACCAAAAGGGAATACACTTGATCCCTAATTTTTAGATATCAACTGCACTGTTTTGCATGATAGGCAAGACCACAACCACTCAAGCTGATCTTTATTGTTCTGTTACCATAGAATGCTCTCATGAGTAAATTTCTCCTGCCTGCACTATTTAAAAAGAAAGCTTTGATTGTTACATCAAGGTTTAGTACAAGGTGCACTAGATTCATGTGCACAAATGCAAACCCATGCACTTTAATATACTTTACCTTTCTCTGAACTATTTTTTACTACCTTCTAGCAGCTTAACCTGATACCTGAGACACCGTGAAGAGTTTGCTTAGGCTCCATAATAAAGATTTGAAATTCTACATTTTTAGACAAATAGAAGAAATTACAGTAAGTGTAAAGCCTACTCAAGGTAAATAAATCTCCTAATTAAAATAAAAGATCTAATTTCTGAATATGCTCTTCATGTTTATTGAGAAAACTCACTGATTATATGTAAATTATGATAGATTAGTAATGAACAATATTTAATGTCTAAAACAAAAATAGTAGCTCCATTAAAATGAATCGTAAGTGACAAAAGTCTCCAATGAAGTTAAAACTTAATGCAAAAATAATAAGCAACTGTCTCCAGTTACTACCAAACAATCCTGTTGATTTTACTATGGTGGGGAACTATTAGCAACCAGTAAAAATAAGAGACTTTTTAGTATGATAGATACAGTATTTTGTGCAAAAAAGGAATTCATAGTCAGCTGAAGACTCCTTTCTGTGGAGCATAAATAACAATTTCAAAACTTTTTTCACTTAAGTTCATTATATTTGTAAATTTCTATTTACTTTTTCAGTTCTGCCCTCCCCCTCCACACACACACACAAACAGAATAGAACAGTCTCAAAAGATTCAAGCAAAAGTGAGAGAATACATTGGAAAAAAGTATTTTATTTTTTGCCTATTACTTTTTAAATATTACACTTCCTTTCAGATGGTGAGAAACAGTTCCAGTACAACAGAATATTCAGAAGGAAAAGAAAATCTAAAACATTCTCCCACTACAATAAATGTGTGTTCCAGTAAATTGTAGGATAGCAGAATTGCAGTCTACATGGCTACTGAGGCCCGGATACCTATATCTGGAGGAACACAAAATTCAGTGAGAAAACATGGTTGATCAACAGAGTCTACAGGTCATATAGAGGCCTCGAGGGTACAGCCCTTTCCACAGTGGCATGCAGGTGTAAAGAAAGATGGGAAACACAGGAATTCCACAGAATATACCTCCATAGCAGACAGATTTCTCAAAAGCCGTGTGATCTCCCATATAACACGAAAATCAAAAATTAAAAAATGAACGAAACTATTATATCTACTGACCAAAAGCCATAGGATGCATGGCTTCTCATCTGGTCAAAATGGGAGATTAAATCAATTTGAAGGATCCCTACAGAACAAAAACCTTCTACTGTATGTGATTTTTCCCTTGGCCTTATATTTACAACTCAAGTTAAGAAGTTACATAAACATTTCCACATAATAAATGTAAAACCAATTTCTACAGAGGGTGTATAGTAGCTAGTAAGCAGCTAATCAAAACAGATTAAGCAAGATTATAAGACCCTAATATCTTTAATGTAAATTTTAAATATTGTCCATATCTCCATCTACATGAGCAGTCCATACAGTACAAAGACAATTTCTTCAAAATAAAACTTGTATTGAAGTAGAATCAACTGTGTACAGTATGCTTTAGTTTTTACTTTTCAACCCAAAAGAAAGAACCCTTCTGCTGTCTCACCCATTGCAAAGGCAGTGACTTTTTCTTATAATAACTAGTTTCTTTCAGAATATCGTAGCGCTTTTTTGTTCACGTGGGTATGTGCCCTCACCGCTGCTGCTTCAGGTTGGCCCTCCACTGCTAGGGGCTTGAACCCAGGCCTCCAGTGTCACTCAACAAGGAACCAGCCAGCTGAGCTAAAGGGAGATCTCCCCTTAGCCCTGAGGTCCCTGCTATTCACAGAGAAGGGCGGTGACGTCACTGCGCTGGCAAGCCGGCTCACACAACCTGTAATGTCAGCTGTATGCGTTACACTATCATTCAAAAATGTCCCACAAATATATTACTTTACAAATAAACAAAAACATTGCCCCACTTTATTAGAATGAAAAGCAGCTCTCCTGTTACATGATTTTAAAGGATACATGGGCCGTGTATCCTTAACCATACAGCTTGTTCAGTGGGAAACAAGCACTGGTAGCCAACAGCTTTTTTGTTGGCTTCTTTATTTCACCATCTGCTTAAAACTTGGAAATAATGCTTAATCTGTTCAACATGACAAATTGAGCTAAGGAAGTGGAAGCTTAGGTACCCT